TATCTGCCCCCTGGTGGTCAGTGCACATCATAACTGTCAGCCAGTCAGCTGGTCACTTAGGCTTTTATATATAGATTATTTTAATCTATATCCTAAATTTTTTTTCTTGGTTTTTGCAATTCTGAGGAAGGAATTTTAATTTACCAGAATGACTATTGTTTTGTCAGGTTTTTCTTTTATTTCTAATAGCTTTTATTTTTTTATACTTGGATGCTATGTTGATTGATGCTGCAATGTAAAAGCCACTTAACTTCTTTGTACATAAGTCCCATCATTAATTTATAAAAATAGCTCTTTTGTTCTAAGGCATTTTGATATGAATTATAATTTGTCTTATTATTACCATTGCTATTTATTTTGTCACATTTTCCTGGCAAATCTTTGACCATCTCCTTATTTTAAATATTTTTGGATTAGCTTTTAGTTTTGTGTCCCATAAGTGTAAAAAACTTTTTTCAAGGGAGGGACTTTATTTTTAATATAGCAATTGAATCTGTTTATATTTATTAGAGTTTTAATTCCTACTTCTCTAATTATTAGAGAACTTGAACATTTAAAAATCTATTAATTATTGATTTGTGAATTTTTAGTTATGTTTTTTGTTCATAGGTCCTAAATAAATTATGCAAGAAATGAGTAATCCTTTGTATATACTTTATTTGTTTTCACTTATAGTTTCAATATGCAGATAGTTAAGATTTTTAAGAGGTCAAACTATTGACCTCTGTTTTTTGTGATTTATGTTACATTTATTCTTAAAATGTTCTTTCCTTTGTAAAGCTTAGATAAATACTCATCTGGTAATTATAAATATATTTATCTAAACTTTGGATTATTTGCAATATCCCAATACCTAGAATACTGCCTAGAATACTTAATAGGTACTCAGATTATATTTTTCCTTTATTGTATTAATTTTTAATCCTTCTAAAACATCCGAAACATTTATTTAATACATTTCATATTTCTTTTGATATAAAGAGAGGACGGTTCCTCCCCAGGCCCCCAAACTAGTTAGTTTTTCCTTTGCTACTTGCTGGATAATCTTTTTCTTCCCTCTTTATTTGTTACTCTTCTTTGTAGCAGGGTACAGGGAAAAAAGGAGACTTTGAAGGCAGATAGACCTGGATTCAAATCTTAGCTTTGTCATTCACTTAAGTTTCTCCTCTTTTTTTTTATGATTTCTTTTTTTTAATTAATAAATCTTTATTGTTCAGATTATTACAGATGTTCCTCTTTTTTCCCCCATAGCTCCCCTCCACCTGGTTCCCACTCCACCCCATGCCCTTACCCCCCCCACTGTCCTCGTCCATAGGTGCACGATTTTTGTCCAGTCTCTTCCCGCACCCCCACACCACCTTCCCCCCAAGAATTGTCAGTCCACTCCCTTTCTATGCCCCTGCTTCTATTATATTCACCAGTTTATTCTGACTTAATTTTTAGGTTCACTTGTTGATAGGTATTTATTTGTTGTCACTTTATTGTTCATAGATTTTATCTTTACCTTTTTCTTCTTCTTAAAGATACCTTTCAGCATTTCATATAATCCTGGTTTGGTGGTGATGAACTCCTTTAGCTTTTTCTTGTCTGTGAAGCTCTTTATCTGACCTTCAATTCTACATGATAGCTTTGCTGGGTAGAGTAATCTTGGTTGTAGGTTCTTGGTATTCTTAAGTTTCTCCTCTTAGGGGGATAATATATGCTTGCTCAACAGTGCTGTCCTAGGATTAACAATTATGCATATGTAAGGTTCTAATCATAATGATTGAAACAATGTTAATAATCAGAACAGTGAATTTTACTGCTGTTTATTAAGCTCTAGTGTATATATTAGCACTATTTCTGTGTTATTTGTTCTATTACATTGATTTCTCTGTATATTGTTAGCATTCTTTTAAAAAAAGTTTTTAATATATTTAATACAGGAATTCAGATAGTACAAGTCCTCCAACATTGCTCATAACTTTCATTCCATCTTTTCAAAGTTTATTTTTAAAGCAGTTATTGCCTGTTTATTATTTCCAGTGAATTTTAGAATATTTGGAAGACAAGTTTTGATGTTGATTTGAATTAGAATTTCATTGAGCCTCTACATTAATTTGGACAAATTGACATCTTAACATTATTTAGTCACCTTCTTATTCCTTGACTTTCAATTTATTGAAATTTCTTGTATTTCTCACTAGAGTGCTACTTTTTCTTATAGGTATGATATTTATTATTAAAGTTATTTCTAAGTATATTTTAATATCTATTTTAAATGGAATCTCCACTTTAAAGTATTACAGCAGGTATACATGAAAACTATCAAATTTTTATATATTATATATAATCACTTCAATAGTGTCTTATTCATTCTAATATTTTTTGAATAGATTATTTTGGGGTTTCTAGCCTATAAATAATGATGATTTTTCATATTCTGTATGAGGATATAATTCTTATCTTGCATGTGCAGGTGTATGTAAAATAGTGATGATCATTACTATTACTGTATTATATCTTATGTTTATGGAATTGTCTCTGTGATATCACCCTAAGGTCTAGATATATATTCTTTATCAATTAAGTATGTATTCCTGTCTCATTTTAATGTGTAACTATAGAATAAATAGTTCTAAAAACTTATTTTCAATATTGTGCATTTACTTGAAAACATTTCTTTTTTTTTTTTTTACAGGATGTTCAGCTAAAAGTAAAGACCTACTTGCTTGGAACTGATTTGTCTATATTCAAATATGATGATTTCATCTTTGTTTTGGATATAATCAGCAGGTAGTGTTTGAGATCTTGTCTTATTCTTTGATTCATTCAACCATGATAATTAAAGAAATCATAATTATCAAAGAAATCACGATTTCAGTGAGTTATCATGTATAACTTCTTCAGGGGAATGAAGATAATTGAGCTTTCATAATTTATTTTCTTCTGGGTTTGTATGTGAATGTGTTTAAATATTTCTACCGTTTCGATGTTTATAAACCATAATGTCTTTGTGATCTTTAGAATTTCTTCAAACATCCAAATTTCATTATTTGTTACCTTTGAAAAGACAATCTGGACTTCATTTTTTTTTACTATAATCAGGATGTTGATGAAATTTATATAAATCTTTTTATCCAACTAGGTTGATGCAAGTTGGAGAAGAATTTTGTGGTAGCAAATCTGAAGTTTTGCAAGAGTCTATTAGAAAGCAAAGTGTCAATTATTTTAAGAACTACCACAGGTAAGAACTTTAATAAAATATGAACAGACTTATTTAGGTATTGAGGGTACTTAGTCTATTTCTAATTAAACTTTTAACATTAATTGGTTTAAAACAGTTACTTTTGAATTTGAAAGTATATGTATGTTCTTTATAGCTCTTTTTAGATGGTTCAGGATTTTTTACCAAAAATCTTATAAAATATCTCATTACTTATTCGTTGTCAGTTTTAATATAATCTTTGTCTTGAGAGTCTCAAAATATTGCGTAATTATTGAACTGATTTCTGTATGGGTGAAAGATGATTATTACATCAGGGTTCACCAGAAGATTTGGCCACTGTGCTATGCCTGACTATATGTGTGAGCTAGCAAGAAAGTTAAACCAGTAGAGGCAGCACTCCGTGAGGGTGCTTGAAAGCATCTGCCTTTTGGAAGTAAGAAGGCTTCTAGAGAAGAGAGCACAATATTCAGAGTGTAGCTACAAAGTGAAGATTCTGTACTACATTACTTTGCAAAACAATCACTACTAACTTTACAAAGGGTGATTAGGAATGGCTTTGGGAAGGGAGGAAGATGGGAAATAATATTCATATGGCAATGTGATTGTATACTTAAAACAGCATTAAATGAGAGAGCTAACATAGAGTGTGTCCCCAAAAAATTTATACGCAGTGTTTATTAAAATACATTTCATTTTCAAAATTGAGCTATCAGCTGTTAAAGTGTGTATATATTTTGGGGGGGCACTTTGTATATTAGATCTTGGTAGTAGCTGGACTCTGTGCTGTGTCCCTTACATACATTTTATTGTTTCAATTGAGTTCAGTCTTACTTTTTATTCTGTATTTTTACTTTTTAAAATTCAGTTTTGATTTTATTGTTATTTGGTGCAGGGAGAGTCAGGATTTGAAATTCTGCTTTCTCTCTTTGTTTGAAGTCAACTTCTGATCACAGTTGTATTTGCCATTTAGAAGAGATTATGAGACATTAAACCATTGATATATTAATTATTAAGTATGTTTAAGTACAAGTGTTCTCTGTTAATTGTAAACTTAAATATTTGTTTTGAAAGAAAATAAATTTAATGAGGAGAATGTTTAAAAATAAAAGTTTTAATTGGTTAAGCCCCAGGAAAACAGTGTTACGGGAACATGAAACCCTAACACTGCCTTTATTTATAAATTTCTTTTTTGTCAAAACTTAAGCCCTGCTAAAATAGAAGGCCTGGCTTGTACACATTGCACATTGCTGTGCAAAAGAAGAGTGTCTTTTTAATCGTACATAGAAGAGGATAGAGAACTCTGAAGTAGCCAGGAGCCGTACTGACTCTGTTAGAACTAAGGCATGCCAGTTGTCCATTTCCAAACAATTGCTTTGTATCCAGCAGGCAACTGGAGACCTTCTGGTGTTCCTGGTACTGACTGTAAGCTGCGTGCAGTGGAAAAACTGACTTTTTTAATGGTCTCCTTTCGTTATTCTACTTTACTTATTGTCAAAAAGACATACACACATACAGGAGAAAGTAATGTGAAGACAGGCAGATTGTAATGTTGTGGCCATAAACCAAGTAATGGTGGCAACCACCATAAGCTAGAAGGGGCAAAGGGAATAGATTTTTCCCTAGTCTAGAGATTATGTAGCCCTGCTGACATCTTGATTTCAAACCTCTGGCCTCCAGAACTGTGAGAGATTACGTTTCTATTGTTTTAGGTCACCTAATTTGTGGTAATTTGTTACAGCCATTGGAAACCAATGAAGAGTGGAATTGCTGGGTCATATGATAACTCTATGTTTAACATTTTGAGGAACTGCCAAACTTTTCCAAAGTGGCTACACTGTTTTACATTTCCAAAAGTACTGTATAAGGATTCTAATTTCTCCAAAACCTTGCTAACACTTGTTATTGTCTGTCTCTTTGATTATAGCTATCCTATGGGTGTGAAGTGGTATCTCATTATCGTTTGGATTTACTTTTCCCTAATGAATGACAATGTTCAGCATCTTGTTATGTACTTATTTGTCATTTGTATATCTTTGTTGTTGAAATGGTGTTCAAAGCCTTTGCCTATTTTTTAATGGCATTATTTTATTGTTGAATTGTAAGACTTGTAAACTTTTATAGTTTTAGTTCTTACATTAGGTCTGTGGTCCATTTTAATTAATTTTTATATATGGTGTGAGGTATGGGCACCATCACTTCCGCATGATTATGGTCTATGCCAGCCGTGGGCAAACTACGGCCCGCGGGCCGAATCCGGCCCGTTTGAAATGAATAAAACTAAAAAAAAAAAAAAGACCGTACCCTTTTATGTAATGATGTTTACTTTGAATTTATATTAGTTCACACAAACACTCCATCCATGCTTTTGTTCTGGCCCTCCGGTCCAGTTTAAGAACCCATTGTGGCCCTCGAGTCAAAAAGTTTGCCCACCCCTGGTCTATGATGTTTAGTATAAAGCATTTATTAGTATTTATGATTTCATAAATTCTGTAAATTATTTCCCCGTGTTTGTGGGTTATTTTTTTGGCATTGATATATGATTAGCTGAGGATATTTTAAGTACATGATTTAGTGAGTAGCTTTTGGTTTAGTCCCTTAATAAAAATGTCATTTTCTGTATATTATTATTTTTGTGATATAGTAAAAATATTCAAAGTTAAGTAAATATTTAAGTAATTTAATAAGTATAAGAGTTTTTTTTCTTTTAAGGTTGATAACATTAACAAAATAAATGTGTTATATTGGTCTGAATGGGTTCTCAAAGTTGATTATGATCATGATGATCTTCTATAATTGTTTATATTTTATTTCATTTTTTAATTCTTGTGTATAGTATACTTCTTACTTTCTGGAGTTTTTTTTTTTGTTTGTTTGTTTTTTTTTAAGAACACGGCTTGATGAACTGAGAATGTTTCTAGAGAATGAGACCTGGGAACTTTGTCCCGTTAAGTCAAATTTCAGCATTTTGCAACTTCATGTAAGTGTTTCTTAAAAACAAATAACTCTGTCTTTTATTTAGTCATCCTTAAAAAAAACCAACACAAACATGTGCGAGCATGTACAAAATAAATTAAAGAATAGTGTCTTTTCTTCCATAAAAGTGATTAATAGCAAGCCTCTTTTATAAGAGGGATCCTTTTTGGATGTCAAACTCTATTTTTACAAGTTCAGTTTACTGACTTCAAGAACGCTCTTTTGCTTAAGAAGAGTCACAATTAAAATAATTTTTTTCTTATGATTCCATAAAAATCACTTTACTTAATTTCACAGAAATTTAAACAGTTATATTTTGATGGTCATTAATGAAAAAGCTTATATTTACAGAATTTTTGTCATTTCTTCAAAGGACTACTAGGGTCTTAATTTATGCTGCAACTCATAAATTTGCCTCTAATGAGGAAATACCTCAGAAATAAAAGAGGCAAATATAAAAACCACTCTTAACTATTCTTTATTAGTTAATTGATCCCGGAATCCTTATAGAATTTGTAATCTGTAGAAATATCTTTAAGTGATCTCATTTTTCCCTTGGTTGAAACACATTGTAGATAAATATTCGTTTTGTGATAGATTTTGTACTACAAATACCAAATGTCAAGATACTGTGTATAAATTTAGAAGGTCCAGTGCATTTAGTTTTTGCCTTTGGAAGGAATGGCTTTCTAGAATCAATTTTCTTATTCTGGATAAATGTAAAGAATACGTACTAACAGTTTTTTTATAGGGATAATCTTTATGCTCATGTTGTATAATAGCTTACTTGTTATCCAGTTCTATCATATTGCTTTCCTAATGTGGAAATATTAAATAACTGAAACATGTTGATTAATAACTGCTTTCAATACAAGAAAATTAACATTAACTTAAAAATTATTTTAGAATTCATATATTACGTTGATTCCTTAACATTATTTAAAATTCTAACATTGATTTTAGAATGTCTATTTAAATAATTTTGTTTGAATTTGTGTTTAACCAGTACACACACACTTGGTATAGTTATAAGACAACTTATTTTACAAGGTACATTGAAACATTTCCATCCAAGTGAGCATTACCTTCTTTAAGTAGTTACCTTGAAGTTTCAGTTATGCAAGATGAACAAGTTTTAGAGATCAACTGTACAAGATTTCGCCTATAGTTAACAATACTGTTTGTGCACTTACATTTTTTTTTTAACAGGATAGATCTCATGTTAAGTGTTCTAACCACAAAAAAAGTGGTTACCTGGAAACAGGGATTCTTATAGACTTGTGTGGTTTTTTAAATTGTCTCTTAATTTATAGTCACTTCTTGTTTAGAATTACAAAAATAATGGTATGATTTTTAAGCAGTATAATTAATCTGATTTAATATGTATTTGCAATTTTAAAAGACAATAAACATCGTTTGAAACTTAAGCCAATGTAATTTTAAGAAGATTATCATTGAATATGAAAAAATTTCAATTTAGGATTAATACTAAAAATTAAAAGGTATAAGAAAAATATATAGTACACTTTTATTAAAAATACTCAAACCAATAGTTTTGCAATTCAGAGGAACTTTAGGATTATGCAATATCTTCCTCAGATTAGTTGCATGATCTTCAACTTTGCGCTGGATCTCTCCAGACTGCCTCAGTTTCCTTATCTGGAAAATACATGATTTGGGCTGGGAGCTACAACTCTTGCTTTAGCATTTGTGATTCTCTCATTCTAGGTGACCCTCTTATTTTATAGATGGGAAAATTGAGGCACACAGAAGCCAGGTGACATTCCCAACATTATATAGGAAGTTAATGGAATGTAATGGACTAATGGCAAGCTAGGACCATAAGATTTATCATCTGACCTCAGCATGTGTGTTTGTGCTATCTGCTTTTTGGCATATGAAGAAAAATAAATGAAAATTTATAGACGGGGATGGTATGGAGATGGAAGAGGGCATAGAAGGGATAAATGGTTAATAAAAAATAAAGTTAATTTAAATTTAATTTAATTTTAAAAACATGGAAAGTTTATAGACAACATTATAACAAAGATATATCTACATGCTTTGTTTTTGATGACTTTGTATAAGCATCTTAAATGGTACAATAAGTATGCAAGGTGTTTAACTTAATAATTAGTTTTAACAAAGACTATTGATTAAAACCATATCCTATTAATGCTTTTGCTGCTATGCTAAAATTTTTAGAATTATCAAATTTAAATTATTTTTAAAAATTTCCTGTGCAGTTACATAAAGTAAGCCAAAAGTAGCTTAATGCAGATAACACTGTTGTAAGTGATACTAGCAACTGAATTTATCTTTAGGAAAACCTTTGACTAATGTAATTCTGAGTTTGTGCTTTGAGATAACTTGTAGGATTTAAAAGAGAACAACCTAAAGAATCAGAATTAATTCCCCCCCCCCAACTCTACATTTACAGTGATGGAATGTTTATGTTTTTGAATTGTTTCTAAAAGGTATATGGCTCCTTTTCTAATGTCTAGGAATTTAAATTCATGGAACAGTCTCGTTCCCCATCAGTTTCACCTAGTAAGCAGCCAGCCTCAACATCTTCAAAAACAGAGACCTTGTTTGAGCAGTACTGTAGTGTTGGGAATCCATTTGAAATCCATGCAAACCACAATGATGAAGAAACAGAAGACGTCCTGGCTTCTAACGGGGTAGGTGGTGTTTTTAAAACATATTGGGGAACATTAAGTGAGGTTTTCTTTTTGAAGAGTATTCTACCCATTAAACAAGGTAATTGGCTAGATTTATTTACCCATTCACCACCCATATCCCTACCTATATACTACTTCTGTTCCTGTGATACTACTTGTACAGGTAATGGTTTTGCAATATGCTTTCTTGACCTTGTCCTTTTGAATGATAAAATTTGCCTATGTGTTTACTTTGTGTTCTTATTAGACTACTTTATGTTCCTACCAGATTATTAGTGGAGTAGGAGTATAGGTTCTTTATTGCACACTAGAGGCCCGGTGCACGAATTCATGTACCAGTGGGGTCCCTCAGCCTGGCCTGCGGGATCAGGCTGAAACCGGCTCTCCAACATCCCCCAAGGGGTCCCGGATTGCAAGAGGGTGCAAGCCAGGCCGAGGGACCCCACCCGTGAATGATCAGGGCCAGGAGGGATGCAGGAGGGCTCCAGGCATGTCTGGCCCATCTCGCTCAGTCCCGATGGGCCAGACCCCTGCAGCAAGCTAACCTACCATTCGGGGCGTCTGCCCCCTGGTGGTCAGTGCATGTCATAGCAAGCAATTGAGCAGCCTTAGCATATCATTAGCATATTACGCTTTGATTGGTTGAACGGATGACCAGACACTTAGCATATTAGGATTTTATTATATAGGATTTATCTGATTTGTTGGACACATGGATGCATGAGGAAATAGATCTTCTGTACTTTTTTCTCAACTCCACTCTTGGGCAACTAAGAGTGTCATTTTGTTCTATGTCCTTTTCCTGATAGAGGATAATGTCTTTCCTGGCAGGATTGTTTTTGGATTTGGAAGTATGATGTTTTAATAACACTTTGAGCAGCTCAAAAAAACAATATAGAGTAGAGGTAGTGTGAGTTTATGGAAAGTGTTTGAAGGCAAACTTTCTACTAGCTCTGTGGCCCTTCACTCTCAGTTTCTCCATAATTACAATGGGGGAATTCTTACTTCATAGTAACCTACAGGATGTTTTCACAATGTTTCATTTAGATGGGTCCTTCTGATATTCATAATTTCCAGAGGAAAACATCATTTCCAGAGGAAAACAGTATGACTTTTTTTTTTTTTATATATTTTACCGATTTTTTACAGGGAGGAAGGGAGAGGGATAGAGAGTTAGAAACATCAATGAGAGAGAAACATCGATCAGCCGCCTCCTGCACACCTCCCACTGAGGATGTGCCCACAACCAAGGTACATGCCCTTGACCGGAATCGAACCTGGGACCTTTTAGTCCGCAGGCCGACGCTCTATCCACTGAGCCAAACCGGTTAGGGCAACAGTATGACTTTTATTTTAGGTTTGATGAAGCTGAAATTGAAAACTGTTCAAATTTGAAAAAAATTTGTTGAGTTATGCATATTTTAGTTTTGGCATTTTCTTTTGTGTTTAGTGAAGATGTAATTTTAAAAAATATTGCCATGAAAGTGTACCATTATCACTTTTTATCATGAAGTAGAAGCTATTTTGTAGTAACTCACATTTAAAATGACAATTTATTGATTCTTTGTGTAAATTTGCCTTGGTAAAGTAGACTAAACTGAAAGGATTTAAAAGTCACGCCAATATTTTTGAAATAATATCCCTCTGTATTGGTAATTTTTTTCAATTTAAATCTCTCATGGCATTTGATTCTCATTGTTTGTGGCACTTGTGTTTTTTAGAGTCGCCATGAACCCTGAATTAGCAAATACAGAACCACTGCTCCTATGGGAAATATGGGATTAGGTACCTGTGAGCCTCTAGTCATAACATTTTCATTAACTGATCATTTTATGTATTGTTGTTTTATGTGTGTTTTTGCTTAAAGACACCTAATTTAATATATGCTGTTAATTCATTAACATTGAACTCATGGCCAACAGCACTGTAACTTATGCCTGAATGAAGTTTATCTAACACATGTGTTTTTGCAGTAAGGCACACTACAGTTCTCTTGCACTTAGGAACACTAGGTAACACTTACTTAGTATTATGCGGGGGGCCATTCTAAGCAGTAGAATTATCAGCAAAAAGTACAAAATTTTTTTAAAATGTGGCACTAATTAGACTATGAAAAGGACACTTGTTTACAGCAGGAGAGCTAATGCAAGAAGAAAGAGTGACACCTTGTTTGCCCTCTGTTGGGAATGTATATGTTGGGTAACCCCCAAATTTCTCCTCTCTGACAATATCCATGAATGACCATGAAAGCATCATGAAGAATTATTGTTGGGGTTACAAATAAATTTTAGTGAGTAGGAAAATTTGCAAATATAGAATCCTTGAAACTGAGGATCTGTTTTACTGTGGAATCATGAAGCCCTGTCGTTATAACCAGGAGAGTTTGTGTAGAACACCTTCCTGAATGTCATCAGGACTACTCGTGTACAAGTAGTGGAGTGTACCTGTCATGCTCGTCTGTAGTTATTAATATTGATCTAATCTTTGAGGTACAGCGTTAAGTCCTTGAGAGTCAGGATTCACATCTTAATATGGCCTGTCATAATGCTTTAGAGACTCAGAAAACAATTGGTGAATTAAGTTAACTTCTTCTTATGTCCTCATTATATTGATCTCCTAAACTGGCAAATAGGGAGAAACTTTTTAATAGAATTGTTTTGAAAATTCAATGAGATAATTCATGAAAGCACTTGGCAGAGTATTTGGTTAAAACTTAATAAATGTTAGCCATTATTTATTCATATTACAATATTTGATGATGATGATGATACCATTGCTTCCTTTGCTGTGCATGGACTCTACTCCTCTCCTATGCTGGCACAGGGCAATAGTGCCATAAAGATGGGAAACTGTTAGGAGAGTACCTTTCTTTAAAAAATCCACCATTTTTGTTCTTCGTCTCAGTAGTCCCTAGTTGCTAAGCATAATTTTTTAAGTTGCCTTTGGAATTAAATCTCATTCATCATAATGAGGTAGAACATTAGCACGTGTGTTGTGCATGTTTATTAAGCAGCATTAACATGTCCAGTGTGCCAGAATGTATACTCAACCTCTTTACAATGAGTTAGCAAGTTAGAACTTGTGATGAAACCACTTGGAAGAAGAGATTACTTTTAAAAATCACATGGACATTTTGTTTTCTCCTAAGGCCTAGCAGGATGTTTATTTTCTTTATGTACATATTTGATTTTTTTCATATTTACAAGCTTTAATAGGTAAAATGTTTGTATTTTATTTATTTTTTTGAGCTGGTTAAGGTAGGATGATGAAAGTGGAATGATTTTTGTTGGCAAAATGAAACTAAGTTATTAAGAACTTTATTCTATGACTACTTCTTATAAAATTGGATACTTTTATTGTGTTAAAACACTCCAATGAAGGTTGGCTTTTCATCCTCATTTATGAATATTCTGTGTTTTCTTCAGTATGAATCTGATGAACAGGAAAAAAGTGCCTATCAGGAGTATGACAGTGACAGTGATGTTCCGGAGGAACTAAAACGCGATTATGTGGATGAGCAGACAGGTGACGCTCCTGTGAAAAGGTACAGTTGCTCTCAGGTTGAATGGTATTTTGCATTTTATGTTGCACATTCAACAGATAGGATTTCCTTTAAAGGGTAAGAAAAAACAAAAATTGAAAATTTATGTTGATTATAATATGTCACAGAAGTTAATATGTTTTAAAAATGATTTTCAGAAGGCTAAAAATGTAGTTTTTTTCTTTAATATTGGACATAATCAACAAGCTCTTAATTTAGAGATCAATGGTATTTGCAGAAAAAAAACAAACCTTCGATTTATACAATCAATGCTGCCTTTGGAGGCAATTTATACTTCACACAGATCAGAAAACTTCTGGGAGAAAAGTAGTCTTTTTTTTTTGTTTTGGTCTGTGGAGTTTCTGCCTCAATCTAGTAAATATAAATGTCTCCACCTATCTTTCCATGTCATTTATGTTCACTGTTTGAGTCTTCTGTTAGGCTCCTTTTTTGTACTTAAATTTTGCTTTATGATAAATTGTCCTCTTTAAAAACTTGAAGAATTTAATAATATTTTTTGTCACTTTCTCCCAGTTAAGTGGGCCTAATTCTGATATGTAAGTGAATTAATTTCATGACCATCAAGCATTTAATAACCACAGATATACTTTATTTTTAATGACAGGTTTAAGTATACCCTTCTCTACATTTTACCCCCAGAGTACCTAGTTATATTTAGTTGATTTGAAATATCTCTCCTCAAAAGTGAACAAGTCATGTAGTTGTGGATATTTTAATTGGGAAAATTTGTTTCCATTGGTTTTCACATATGTGTAATATTTAAATAATCTACATTTATGATCTATTATGAACTGAATGCAACTATTCTGTTGCATGTTTGGGGTATATTGTATCCAGAAGGAAAGCTCTAATTAAATTGAAATGAACAAGTAAGATAGATAGTGTCTGCCAGTATATGTGTATATACTTGTATTTTTGGTAGGGTTATGCAGCCTCCTACACTATCCTAACTTATGCCCGAGAAGTATAAATAATGTGAACTACTAACTGCAGTCAATCAGTTAACAGTTACTATCAATTCCAACTTCTAAGTGTCTCTTAAATTTATCAGAATTCATTGTGTTTCACTGTGCCTCCTAGTTCATGCAGACATCACCTCTGTGCCAGATTATTGAAGCAATCCCCTTATCTTGGCTCCCAGTCTCCAATCTTGCCACCCTTCTAATCCATTCTTGGATACAAATTTAGATTTTTTTTTTCTTATATACAAATTTGATCATGTCCTTTATGTGGTTAAAATTTTAATGGCTCACCCTCTGCATGCAGCATAAGGTTTATACTTATTAGGCTTTCTTGCTTTTGGTGATCTGGCCTTTATGTAACTCCTTTCTTGTCACTTCGTCTGCCCACTTATTCTCTACTAGAGGCCTGGTGCATGAAATTCGTGCACTGGGGAGAGGACGGTGTCCCTCAGCCCAGCCTGCACCCTCTCCAATCTGGGACCCCTTGGGAGATATCCGACTCCCTGTGGGATCAGGCCTAAACCAGCAATAGGACATCCCTCTCACAATCCGGGACTGTTGGCTCTGAACCACTCGTCTGCTGCCTGGTTGCCCCTAATCGCTTCTGCCTGCCAGCCTGACACCCCCTAAACGACTCCCCTGCCGGCCTGATCACCCCCAACTGCCCTCCCATGCAGGCCTGGTCCCTCCCAACTGCCTTCTCCTGCAGGCCTGGTTCCCCCTCCCCCCCCCCAACTGCCCTCCCCTGCTGGCCCGGTCACCCCTAACAACCCTCCCCTGCCAGCCTGGTCGCCCCTAACTGCCCTCCCCTGCCGGCCAAGTCACCTCAAACTGCCCTCTCCTGCAGGCCTGGCCCCCCTGCTGGCCTGATCACCCACAACTGCCCTCCACTGCCAGCCATCTTGTGGCTGTGGGCGCTGCCCTCTTTGAGGGCGGGGCAGTCAATTAGCATATTCCCTCCTTATTGGCTGTGGGTGCTGCCATTTTTGAGGGTGGAGCAGTCAATTAGCATATTTTCTTATTGGCTGTGGGTGCTGCCATCTTTGCGACGGTGTGAAGGTCAGTTAGCATATTCCCTCTTTGTTAGATAGGATGCTAGTCTTGTGAACTCTGTGTACTTCTCTGAGCATGCTCTGTTCTCTCTTACCTTTGACCTTAGTACAAGTTATCCCACTATTTTTTTTGTACTTGCCATATCACTTCTACTTTCAATCTAGACTCCACCTCCCAACCCCAGACTCGACCATCATATCTTATACTTACTTCAGATTGTAAGGAGGGTATTTTTTTCATATTTACATATCTGAAATCAGGATGCTAGATACATTTGGATGTGTAATTTCCCTAGAACATCTGCTTTTTAAAGAGACATAGCTTCTATGTGGTTGGTAATTAATGTCTTAGAATCAAAGAAGTACATTATAGTACTTTATTATTTTGCTTACTAATTTATTTTCCCCTCTGGACTTTAAGTTCTATAAGGAGGAAGTTAATAATCTCTACTAGTTTATTCCCACCTGATACATGGTAAGATTTTCAATAACTAGTTAGTGAATAAAGGATAGATCCTAAGCTGGATAACTTACTGACTTACCACTTGACAATCCTAATTGCAACTCTTTTGTTTCTCTATATTAAGTGTTTCTCGAGAAACCCTCAAGAGCAGGAAGAAATCAGATTACAGTCTAAATAAAGTAAATGCACCCATCTTAACAAATACAACACTGAATGTAATAAGACTTGTTGGTAAGTAGGTACACCTTTTTAATGAAAATTATTATAGCAGTTACATTAGTCTGCTTTTGTTACCAAATGATTTTTACTTGCCTTTTTAAAAGTTTGAATTGTTTACATATTTATTTTATATTGTTGACAGTATTACAGATGTCTCCCATTTTCACCCTCTGTTCCTCTCCACCCAGTCCCTGCCCCACCCCAGGCCTTTACCACACTGTCTGTGTCCATGGGCTATGCATATTTTCGTGTCCACTGCAGTGAAGGATTTATGATGAGCATATGTCAATGTTTTCTTAATTGTTCCAAATAGTATAAATTAATATTATTGTTAGTTTTTCTTGTTTCAGTTAACTACTTAGTATTTGTGTCTCCACATTTTCTAAAATACCTCAATTAATTGAAATGTAATGAAAAATTCTCTGTGTGAGGTAGAGGTACATGTAGGAGGATGATAGTTCCAGTTTTACATTGATACAATATTTTTTACTTAATTGTTCCATTGATCTTCACCATCTTCCAGTCAGATAGGCAGAGTGAAATGTGATTCTCTGGCATTTTCAGACACAGTGTTCTATAAGCTAAATATTCTCACCATAGTAAGTGTAGTCCTGATTACAGATAAGACCTTTATTGATAATTGTATATAAAGAAATGCTATATTTTAAATATTTGGTTTTGAAGATGATGTGAATTTTTTAAATGTCAGTATTTAAACATTTTATATGCTATTTCAGCCTTCAAATTTCACAAATTGGTCTGCAATTTGACAAATAAGTTATAGAGATGTCTTCTCAAATTAAGTCGTCTATACTAGTGAGGAATTTTAGTGGTTTTCTATAAAATTCATTGTATTCTTTTTATGGAGTTGAAAACTTCCTGTTGCCTAGTTTGATTATACTTAGCACTGCTAAAATGGTCTGTGTTCTTGAAGATAATTTCTACATTTCATTCATGAGTAGGATCAAGTAGACAGAATGGTTTTTAGAAGTCCCACTTCCTTTAGGGAAAATAGTGGAAAAGTAATAATGAATTGAGAGGAAAAGAAAAGGTATATATTTTCATGACAAAGGAAAATGACAGATTCTAAAAAGCTGTTTTATGGATGATTATTGCCAGGGAAATTAGCTTTTCTTCTTTATCAAAGAGAGCTAACCAAATATAGAGTCATGAGTTAATCTCTAGGATATATGGAATCAGAATTGGATGGGTTCTGAGAGGTTGTCTATTATGAATTCCCATAAAATAAGGATTTCTTTCTATAATGCCTCTAATATGTAGTGGCCATCTAGCCTTGGTTTTATGTCTCACAGTCACTGGAAACCTATCATTTTGCAAGACTACTCATTCTACTACTGGTTTAATTCATTGAAATCTCTTCCTTAGGATAAAACCAAAATATCTCTCTCTGTAATTTTGTTTTCTTAGTTCTGTCTCTAAAAGCAAAAAGAGTAATAAGTCTATATTTTTTCTCCTACTTTTCCATGTGGTCACTTTTCACATGTGTGGTGGTAGTTAAACTGTTCTTTCCTTTTTTTATACCCTCCTCTCCAGTCCATTCTTCAGGATCAATGTGCTCAATTCCCTTACATGGTCCATGCGGATACAGATATTCCAGAATTCTTGTCATCCTCCTGAGCCTCCTGGACTCACTAGTTCTCAGTGTCTGAACACGCTGCTTGAGATGCAGTTTAATGAAGGCAGCTTTTGTTTAGTTATGTTGAAGTAACTAACCATCCTAACACCAGTGGATTTCAACCAGAAGGTTTAAGTTGGCTCCTAAACATCTTAGTTCTGCTCTTTGTGTGTCTTCGTTCTGAGATGTGGGCTGAGAGAATAACACCAATCTGAACATGGAGAGAAGAGCAAGAGCTGAACCATGTTATGGGGAAATAATATAATCAAATACATTAAGTGGTTGTTTATATATTTTTAACTTACCTAGTTCAAAATGACTATGGGGCATCATGTTGTTTTTTACTATAAAAGACATTCAGTAGAGTCAAATAAAATATAAGGCTAAAACAAAATTGAGGAGGGGAGAAATCATGTTTCATTTAGTGAAATGCAAACAACAACCGCAAATCCTCAGTTCTTGGTAGGTGTACGGAAATGAAGAAGGAGCACATTCTGCTATTCTCGTTATCTAAGAAAAGGATAACGTAATGATAGAAATGTGCTGCGGGGATTAAATTTAGAAAGCAATAACGACCAGTTCTTATGTAAGGATTGCTGACCAACATAGTGGACACTGTTTTCTGACAGTGGATTTATAGAAACAGAAAAACTGTGTTCCTCTGGGCCTTTGATATGTCAGCCCTGGAGAGCAGAGCAATCCTGAATAAAACTTGACTCGTGAACTGAGAATCTGACCATTGCAGTTCCAGCCTTCTCCACCACCAGAACTTTTACTGGAGTTGCAATTAGAAAATGCCTTGTATGGTCATTTAACTTTCATGTCTTCCCATTTAGGGCTGCCACTAGGGGCTGCCATTATTTCCCTAGTAGATTTTTATGTCTGCCATTTTCTCTGTCCCTGGGATGTCTTTATCTCAGCTTGTACATATTCATAAAACAGAATGTTAAGGGAACCACTCACTAAGGGGTCTCTGACTAGTAAATGCACTATTCTACCCCCTGTAGTTATTGCACAAGGTGCTTAAAGATTATAAACTGGCAAAGGTAATATCTCTTTACAAAGTCAGAAGTACAGTTGTGTAAATAAGATAGATTAATTTTTGGTGCTGGGAAGATGAAAGAACTAATTATAGTTGGGAGACACATTTTGAACATTAAAGGCATATTCAAAATGTCCTTTTCAATGAGTATTTATTTGGCAGATAATTAAGAGAGATTAAACAAAAGAGTGTTAATGGGGCTTCCCAGCCCCAGGTGGTACCTAATTCCGTTAGAAAAGCTCAGGGAGTGTTTCCCACGTTCGGAGGACAATTCCAAAAGCCTGACAGTTTCTTGCTGACAGAAGCTGAGCAATTTTAGGGAATCTGGCATCTCTGAAATAGCCGTGGTATTCAAGGTCTGTGTCCTGGAGGCAGCTCTCACCGACCGGGGACAATAGGACTGAGTGGCAGGAGATAGGTTGCCAAAATCCATGCTTGTAAAAACTACAGACCTTACAACACAATTATTACTTTAGCAGTTGGGAAAAATACACACCAGCACACGCACCAGGATTTAACCACAATGTGTACATCTGCGGGATTTTGAGGCATAGTGTGGCCGAAGTGTGTGTGTATGGTGGAGAGGACACAGAAAGAGGAGGGAAGAGATCCGTCACCTTCATTAACACAGTCTTTTAGGCGGGGCATTAGTTTTAGTTATTTTCTCACGGTAATGCATGAAAATATTTAAAAATGAAAATACCTCAGGATACAAAGAGTCCCTGACCCCCATGTCTCCTTCCTCAGAGAACACTACTCAGTTTCTCCTGTTTTCCTTGGGGAATATTAATATGCATTTACACGTCTATTTAATATGCGAGTCACCTTTCCTTTTGTTGTTGTTTCAAAAATTGGATCACACTATATATAGTGTTCTTCATCTGGCTTTTTGAACTTCAACTCTCTTAAGGTTACAGTTAAAATATCTTAGGATATTGCATGCCTTAGTATGCATAGAGCCCATTTTTTTTATGATCCTATTGTATAGATGTACCATTGATAAGACCTTTATTTTTTTAACATTTGTTTCAAGTCATTTGATGCCACAAACAATGCTCATCACAGAAAATATCCTTGAAATATCTTTGTCTGTTCAGATACAGCTGTAGGACAAATTCCTACAAATGTTTCCTCATGCTAGATCATAGAGTTTATACATTTTCAGTTTTGATGCACATTTTCAATTTACCAAGGAAGTTTCTAAAGAACTTACTGCAGAGGTTCTGTTAGTTTACCCAACAGTATAGGAGAGTATCTTCTCTCAGTCTCTCAGCAGTCTGTGTCATCCAACTTCAGGTGCACGCCAGTCTGATGGGAAAAATGACATCTCATTCAAAAAGTATTTAATTTGAGTGAGTTTAAGCATCTTTTAATATGCTTTAAAAGATATTTCTCTTTGTGAACTACTTATATTAATTGCCCATTTTTAAATAAGGATATTATTATGGTTTAATGTCTATATTAAGGAAATTAGTCTTTTTCTGCTATGTGTATTGATTCACTCATTTTCAGTCCAATAGATTTTCTTTTGAGTTACTACTTTGTTTCAGGCACTCTGCTGGCTGTTGGGAATATAGTCATGCACAGGACATATTCTGTGTAGTTAAAGAGCCCAACATGGGAAATAACATACAAAATAAAAGGGCCGACTCACTGGACAGCTCATGCACCACCTGGCTTTGAAAGATGAATAGATTCTATTGCCTGTTAAAGGCATTCTAGACAGAGTGAAAAGAATAACATGTGCAGCACATGGTGTAGTCACATAATACAGGTTAGTTTTCTGCATATGAGAAGATGGTGGGAAGTGGGGGACAGAAGCAGGGGAGATGTGGCAAGAAAGGTGGACAAGAACTGGATTTCAGATTGCATTATATAATGTCCCATTAAGCATATGTAATGTTCTCTGGACATGAACTTATTAAGGGTTTTAAACAGGTGAAACACAAGCAGATTATTTCTTCTTCCTTTTTCCTCCTTCCTTCTTCCTTCTTCCTTCCTCTTCCTTCTTCTTCCTTATCACTCTGGCCACAGTGTAAATAAAGGAGAACCTGGGGAAGGTCAAAGGCTAGTTGGGAAGCTGTTGAAATCTCCCAGGCAAGAGATGTTGAGGACTTCAGTCTGCTTAAAGCAATGGCCATTGTAATGGAGCAGTAGAGACAGATTTGAGAGATTTTGGAAATACAGTGGACAGGATTGGAGAATTTGTGATGACAGATCATTCTTAAATTTTATATTTGTGTGGCTAGTTATCCTATCACAACTAAAATAGGAAAGATGAGAGGGAGACCAAGTTTGGGAGCTGATGATATGTTTGGTTTTGGACATCTGGAG